GTATCTGTAAAAGGAGTGTACAAGCATTTAAAACGACATGAAGATACGAATGGATCTGAGTCTTTTTACCGTCAATAATTCTCGCATAGATCCAAGAAAATATCTGATTCAGCATCAGCTACGTAAACGAGTTTAGATTTTGACTTAAAGTAACTGAAATGGTTAAGAATATATTAAATAATTCTTTATTTATCCAAGTAATTGTCAATCAGGTCAAAGAACACTTTAAAAATGAATTAAATGATGTTCAGTTTAAGTTAAGTTTGTCTTTATAACAGAGTAAGGTGAAGTTTCCAAGTACAATGAAAGTACAAGAAAATTGAAAAACTGTCACAATTAGCATCTTATGTCAATCAAGGTACGAAACTATGACTCTATCCGCTTTAGCCCCTTCTTTTATTTTTCCCCTTTATCTTCTAGAAAAAAAGGTTTTGATTTTGATTTTGCGCTCCAGTTATGTGAACCTCTGCTCTCGCATTTTAATTTTTCGCTTTTGTCTGATATTGTAATGGAGTGAAACTCTTTCCCCACTCTAAACTCGTGCCTTTCGTCTTGGAAACGTTTTGAGCGGAACGATTTATCTTCGTCTGCGTCTTTCACTCATTTCAATGTTCTACTGTTTAACGTACGGGGTTTAGCCGAGAGATGGGAGGAAGTTTTACTTTTTTTCGAAAACTCGAACTCCGATTGTCTAGTTTTATTAGAGATAGGGGCGGTAAATTTTTCCTTTCTCTCACAAGCTTTCAATAGGTTTAGATTCTTTTACAAGGCCGGTGAAAATAGTAGGGGAGGTGTCGTGTTAGTTTTCCGTTCAGGTTTTTTCTGTACTCGAGTAAAATGTGATATACCTAATGTGTGTGTAATAGATATCACTTTAGAGCAAGTTTTACGTATCGTTGGGGTGTATGCTCCTAGAAGTAGATCATGGACGTGGGACGTCCTCTCCCCATTTGTCTCTGGCTCGTGTGTGTTTTTTGGTGACTTTAATGTTGATATAGACGATCCGGTTGATAATGCTAGGTCCACAACCCTCCTCGAGTGGGCCGATTCTCTCTTTTTGTCACCTATTCTTTCTAATAAGCCGACCTCTAAACGTTCCAACCGTCTCATTGATTATGCGTTCGCTACTGGAGTTCCCCTTTTAGTTCAAAATTGGGACGCCAACACCACAAGTGACCATGAACCCGTTCTTGGCATTATCGCGTGCGAGCGAAAAGAAACTGCGTTTAGTTATAATACTCATTGGGCTATTTTTAATTATTTTATCTCGTTTATTTCTGATTTCTGGTCATTACAATGGGAGCATTCATCTTGGGAAGTTGTTTATCCTACTTTTATTTCTTTTCTTTCTCTCCTAAAATCTCATTGTACGGTTTATTTTCCTCTAAAACAATATCGAGTCGCGATCTCTAAGGAGCTTCGGATCAAACTCTCATATGTTCGAGTTTTGTCATTGAGAGCCAGAAGGACAGGTGACGCTCTTCTAAAAGTAAAAATCAAAGAATTAAGAAAAAGAAACAAAGCTGAGCTTCGTGATTATCTCTTGGCTCGTTTGGGGCAATCTATGAGTGAGCGATATACCTCTTCAAGATCCTCTGTTGGGTTTTGGTCAAAAGTGAGGAAGAATTTTAGAGCTAATTGCACTTTAAAAGCCTTTTTGTCAGAAACGGTGAGGTTATCAATAATACGGAGGACATGCTGTGTATGGCGGCTGACTATTACGAAAAATTGTTCGACGAGACAATCGTGTACCGTCCTCACCCATATGTCGACTGTCCTGGGATGATCTGGGAGAACCAGAACGAACTCATCCCACTAATAACCTTGCCAGAACTTATGAAAGCAGTGTCCAAAGTTAAGAAAAAAACCTCTTTCGATTCACATGGCATCTCCGCTTTTATGTTTCGGTTTATCCCCTCTCCCTTCTGGACAGGTATTTTAAAAGTTTTTAATTTATCCTTAACATCATTCGTTGGTCTATCCTATTGAAAAATAGTGAAAATGGAATTACTTGCAAAAAAGAAATCCGTTTGTCTAATTGGCGATACCCGTCCTATTTCTCTCCTGGATGTGTTTCTCAAATTGCTAGAGCGTCTCTTTCTGGTTCGATTTCTAAAGATCTTAGAAAAAAGAGGTATTTTGCACCATTCTCAGTCAGATTTTCGATCTAAATTCCGTCTCCAATCTCGTGTTCTTCTCTTGAAAGACCAAATCTCTTCCTTAGTGAGCAACAACTCTTCGGTCGCTACCATTTTTGTGGATTTCAAACAGGCATTCGACCAACTTTAGTGGTTGGGCTGTTTGGCAAAGTTGTCCCACATTGGGATACCTAAAGCGTACATAGAATGAATTGGTGCCTGGCTTAAGATAGGCACGGCTTTATTGAAATGGACGGGAAATGTTCTCGCTCGTTCGCTATTAAGAGAGGCGGTCCTCAAGGTTCACCCCTTACCCCCACAGTCTTTATCACTTATCACCCGGATATGTGGACCTTTTTAGAAACATCTCTAGCGAATTACTTTGCTGACGATCTAGCAAGTGTTCTTGCGGGAATGATTGGTGTGAAGTTTACCCAACAGCGTTGGAATTTAGAGAGGCGTCTAAAGAAGTTCCTTGATTATCTTGACTATTATTCAGTGTTAACGGTTCAGCCGATTAACTACTCCAAAACTGTTGCATTATGGTCCTCACGTGCGCCGAGAAAACCAGATTTTAATATTTTTTGTGGTATCCATCAGATAGAATGGGTAACTAGTTTTAAATATTTAGGCTACTGGTTAACTTTTAGACTAGGATGGGGGAAGGGGATATCTATATCTAAAACAAAAATTAGGCAAAGGATCGCTATGATAAAATCTTGCAGAGTGAACGGATGCACTAGTCTAGAATTTAAACGAATGTTGTTTTTTACGTATGTGTTCCCCCTAGTTACTTGGATTTTCCCCATCTTCCCCTTGTTTACAGAATGTCAGCAGTCAGATTTTTCCCACTTTTATTGTACTTGTTTACGTCGAGTGTATGGCGCGATTTTGTGGAATAATTTCACCTTCGCATTTATGTACAAAGAATTAGCGCTTGAGGATCATTGGGTCTCCTATTGGAAAAAATATTGACGTGCGTTAGAACTTACAACTGATGGTGCCCTCCTATACGAACCTTATGCGTTAAGTGTGTATAGAGAACAGTGGTTGTTAAAAGCATTTGTTATTAAAAAGCTCTCTCGTTCAAAACGTTTCGCTTCGCATCTCTCTGTTATTCAAAAATGTGCTATGTGGAGTCTAAAAAATAACTGTGATAACTCTATTCTCCAGCTACCTGAAACAGAGTTTGACAATTTTTATGTGTTTCCTGATTCGTTTTTATGAACTGTTCCCTATTTTTCCCCCGGTCATATCCTTTTTAAATCTTTGTAGAACTTTTTAATTGTTCAACTTCTTAACTTTTTATTTCAAACTTCTATTTCCTTTTTTTTTGTTCATGATTGTCTTTACAAATAAGATTTCCACAAGATTTTTATAAGATTCTTATAAAAAAAGTATAAGAATCTTTCATAAGACTGAATCTCTAGGCTCGATCTTAAATCATTAATTGCAACCATTTTATCAAATGTTTGATCAGTGTGTTTACGAACGAACTGTTTCATACGGCACCACATTCCTTCGATAGCGTTCACTTCGCAGTGAAAGTTTCTTGTATTCTGTGCAGAAGCCGTATATGAGGAGGTGGATGGTACATCATTGACTAATAATGGTAAATTAGATAGTTATAATTTTCTTTTTTTGTTCCTGTTTCTATTGACCTGAGTGAAATAACCGTGTATTAACCACAAAATAGCTGACCTTACTTTAGCACCTCCTGTAAAGAACCAGATACAGAAGATGCGTGAGAAAACTACTTTTTCGGTGTAGCGGCCGGGTGCCAAGAGTATATTCATATGTTGTAGTGCCATACACGGTTCATATAGGTTGAGGATTTTAACTATGCCAGTGACTTGATCTATGTGTTTTCGTTTAATAAGCATGAAGAAATAGAACAAAAGACAGAGTCCTATGCAGAAAAGGGTGCTTGACAGTTTGACGATTGTTAATTTTTCTTACTGTTAACTACTGCTTTAATCATGCTGGTCGACCGTTAGCCGTTGTGGTGAATCCCAGGTGACATACGAAATCTAAAGAGTGTAGAAAAAGTTGAAATTCTCTATACTTTTAGGCTTTATAGTAAATCTTTTTTATGAGAGTACTAGTCAGTTTTGGTCAGGTTCATCTGATAATAGTTGAGCAAATGGAAATAACATGAATGATCACACTCCTTACACAGCTACGTTTATATGAGTAACGTTTTATGAGTACATTCATCAGAATTGTTTCTTACGCACTCTCTATGTTAAAATAAAGCCACTTGAGAGTGGCTTATGAGTATCTCCTTGATATGCTTGCCTTCCAGTTTTTTCTTTTCAGATCTTGAATTTGGCCAATCTCATGGATTCGCTAACGACAATTTCCAGACTAGTGATGCTCGTTGTTATACTGTTCGTGTGCTTTTATTTTATAAATATTGGTCATCGGATGTCTAAAACGACTTGGCTTAATTCTGCAAATGTCTATGCTAACATGTCAATCAGTTCAGGATTTAACTTTACTTCTGAAAAGCCGCCACAGATTGCTGTGCTCAAAAACTGTACGGTTGTGACGCAGAAAAGACGCATATTCGACCCTAGTCCGCGACACCCTCATGGGCACGACGGTTTTCCCTCACCGTTGCTGAATCTTCGCCCTCTGAGCAAAGAACAGAGCCAACTCTTAAATTCCCATACTATGATCTCAAGGAGGGTAAAGTCAATCAAAAGTCTTTACGGTTTTCACGGAAGCAGACCTTGGCTCGAGCATATAAATTCCTTAGACGATGAAGGCTTAGCTCCTCTCACTAAGTTTGTCCAGAAAGTTATCTACGACCATCAAAATCCAGATCCCTCGACATGCAAAGACAAAAAATATCTTGAGATGAGACACAATATCAGAGCAGGACTTGGAGCGTTAACACATTTCATCGGCTCAGCTTTAGGACGTGCAATCGATTATGACAGGATACTTATATGGGATATCAAAGATAAAGGTGGAGCAGCAGGTTGGCATTATTTTGATGTCGGATGTGCCGGCAAAGGTCATTACGACACCCTCGATTGCTTGTATGAGCCACTAACAAGCTGTGGTTATGGACATTCTAACGAGAAAAATACTCTGTACACTATTGGATGGGAAGATGGAAGCGACAAAACCGAACCATGGCACCGATTTAGAGCACCATCTCTGTTTACACACGCCCTTATCCAGCATACGTCGGCACCGTTGACCTCGACGGCAGTCAAATATTGGTGGAGAGGTCAAGCAACTGGATTTATACTTCGGCTGCACAACGCGTCGTTAGCAAAGATCCGCGCGTTGCGGCTCGATCCATTCATGCATGTCGGATTCACTGTCAACAAAACGAGCAATACCTTCCAAAGCCTACCGGTCCCATTTCCGTTACCACCACACTCTTTCAGTATGCACATCCGGCATGGCGACAAGGCGTCAGAAATGCGTCTGATTCCTTTGAAAGAATATGTTGAAGAGGCGGAGTGGTTCGCAAAGCAAAATCCTAATTCATATCACAAATCAGCTTTTCTTTCATCGGAAGATCCGGCTGTTTTCGAAGAAGCAAAAAGTATTACATATGTTACCTTCGATTACGGTCTGACTTCTCCAAATGAAAACTGGATTTGGTATATGAGCAAAATTAAGCGCGAAAATATCGGACCGATGCAACAATTGGATGTGTTTGGTAATCGAAGTGATATGACTCTCTCCTGGATGCTTCAGCTTTTCATGGCTCTCGAATGTGACGGCTATGTGGGAACACTGAATTCGAACTGGAACAGGCTCATCGACGAGCTACGATGTATATGGATGGATAACTGCATGCATCCGTATTTAGAAGTTGGTGATGTCGTAGACTGGTCCAACTATCACTGGTGAGGGTATGACATTCTCACAATCGACCAGCTAGAATTATTTATAGATAGAGTCAGGAATGCTAATTCCATCACCTATTTTTAAGCAAATCGGTAAATAATCAATGTAATGAATTATCGCCAGTACCTTTTTCCGAGACGAAACTGAGTTGCATTTGTGGTTAAAATATCTCATTGGTTCACAACTTCCCACGCACATAGGTTATATCAACTATTGACCACACAATTACGTACCCCAAACGGATCCCGCACTTTGTTGGACGACGAATGGGACACTCTGAGTGCCTTCCTCCGGGCACTTTCAAGCAAACAAATGTGTCCCATCAAGAAAAGTGTCCTACTATGAACTATTTTAAGTGTCCCATTCATCGCCTGAGGGGCACTTGTTTTTTTCACAGTGTATGGACTTGATTCATTTATCATCGGATAGAGCACAAAATTCTACGTGTACCTAAACTATTCGAGTTTCATCCAAACCAGTTTCAGGTAGAAAAAACTCTGACTTCATACATTTGTGATAGCAAATTCAAGAGTCCCATGTTGCCAGAATTCCAACAATGCTGGAATTTCAGAGACTGGGAAAACAAGTCTCACTTGTATACATTTGTCACAGTAAACGCAAGAATCCCAGAGTTGCAGAGACACAGAAAAGAAGTCGGATCTGTAAGCATTTGCCATATGTGTTGCGAGAATTCCAGTATCCGTGAAGCCCAGAATTCGAGTCGA